ACAAACAGCATGGACTTGAACTCCTAATAGAGGAGAGGGAATACAACCTGAAAGGTATAGCTGAAACTTGTGATGACTCCCATGACTGGATTTCAGCAATTGTTGAAAAGAGCAAAAGGAAGAAAAAGGAAGGTAGAGTAGCATTACAAACGGTTCCTGCAAATGTCCAAGTTATGAACAGCCTCTATTTATGAATGGCCATAAATCCTATATTTTTTTTTAAAAAAACTACCATGGAAAATTGTCATTACCATATATAGAGAGAAAAGAAGTGTGAAAAGATAGAGAAGGAGGCCTCCAAAGCCCTGCCCATCTGGAGAAAGAAATGTCTTCAGCATCTCCTTGCTGCAAGGAGAAGGTGCTGGTGAGTTTGGCTGCATGGGTGGAGTTAAGTATCAATAAGTTTGGGAGCTTAGAGATATTCATGGTTTTCCACTTTCATGGGGGCCTGTACCCCTAACCCCCACAAATGTGGAGAGCCAACTATACATGATCTGACATAAAGGCAAATTTCCTTTTTCTTAAGAATGAAAGTCACTTGTAACCCAAGGACTGCCTGTATATGTTAAAGATACATATCTCTGTACAGAAATGGAGGACAATGAGCTTAGTAGCATCACTGAGAGCATCTGGATTAATATAAATGGAAGAAGGAATAAAAGGAACACAGTGGTTGGAGTCTATTAGCAACTACCCAGACAAGGAGAAGTCACATGAAACCTTTGAAAAGCAAATTGTCAGTGATTCAAGAAGGGATGGTGTTGTCATTATGGGGGGCTTCAATTTCCCCAATATCTGTTGGAAGATAAATTCTGCCAGACACGGCCCCTCCAAGGGATTCCTCACATGTGTTGCTGATAACTTCCTGCAGTAGAAAGTGGAGGAAGGAACAAGAGGAACAGCTGTCCTTGATTTGATGCTAACCAACAGGGAAGACCTAGTGCATAAAGTGGCAGTTACGGAAACCCTGGGGGAAAGTGACCGTGCCATTCATGAATGCTTGATTCTAATGGAAGAAAAAACCAAATGTAGATAAACATGTACCCTGGACTTTAGAAAAACCAATTTTAATACTCTCAGGACAGTGATCATTAAAGTTCCATGGCACACAACTCTGCTGAGTAAAGGAGTCGAAGATGGGTGGGAATTTTTAAACTAAGAAATTCTAAAGGTGCAGTCATAAACAATCCCAACAAGGAAAAATGGGTAGAAGACAACAGAAGAACCTCATGTGGCTTTACAAAAAGCTTAGAGATGATCTAAACACCAACGTGTATAGGAAGTGGTAGGAAGGCCAAGCTACAAAGGAAGAATGCAGACAGGTAGCATGGAATTGCAGGGAAGTCACAGGAAGGCTAAAGCTAAATGAACTGAGGCTAGTGAGGGATGGTTGCACTTGGAGTCCTGCACTGAGCAGGGGCTAGACCCAATGGCCCCTTCCAACTCTAGAGATCTATGCTCATGGTCCAAATAGGTACAGCCTCTTTGGTTTCTGTAGGGCTTCCATGGTAGTGAAGCACAGGCTTTGTATACACAAAGTTCCCAATACTGTCACGGCCATCTTCAGTTAAAAGGGGTCTTAGGAAGTATAGCTGGGAAAGACTGCTTGATTGCTTCGTGAGCCACTGCAAGTTGGAAAAGACCATTCTGGCCTAGGTGTATCGATGGTCTGCTTTCTCAATTCTTGAGCAAAACACTTCAGCTATGCTTTTCTGTTTGTATTTGAACAGGCTATTGCTTAGTGGCAGAACATATGCTTTGCATGCAGAAGGTCCAGGGTTCAAAAGTCAGGATGATGATAGCTGGTCTGGGAGAGACTTTTTGCCGGAGACTTGAGATAGGTACTTCCAACAGGAGTAGACATTACTAGGCTAGGTAGACCAGTGGCCTGACTTGGTCTAAGGCAGCTTCAAGTGGGCACCTAGATATGGCTTCATAGGATGGGGAATGGTAATAGGGTACTAATAATGGGGGTTTGTCTGGTCTCTACCACCAGAAAGGCCCAGTGATATAGAATGCAATTCAGGGAGGGGGACAGAGTTCATACTGCCCCTTACTTTCTGTATCCCTGCCAAAGGTAAATAATTTGTGACTTAAGGAAACCAAGGTCACAGTTGCATTCCATGGTTTTAATGAAACAAGGCATTACTGTTGTAAACCACCCAGAGAGCTTCAACTATTGGGCAGTATAAAAATTAAATAAGTTCAGAAATACACCTAAATTTTAAATTTGTAAACCAAATATTAAGGGAGTGGGATAGTCTTTAAATGAGAAAGCTGTTTGAGAATGTTCACTGTGCTATGAACTACATACTCAAATGTATGAGAGTGTTCTTACCTTAGGAAGGATTTCTCTCTCCCCATGGTCTTTCCCTATAGGTTGTGCAGAGATTAGATTAGCAGATGTATCAGCCTTCCTCATGTTCATTTCCTCCCTTATTGCCTCAGTGCTGCCAGTCATTCAACCTTCGATGTATAATCACTGAGGCATGGTAAATCAAGCCTTCTTCATATCCTCCAAATTATCGCTACAGGAATTAAGCTATAGCAAAGGAAAGAAAATAGGTATTTTCCCCCAAAACTTGCTCATACAGATTCATAATGGCCAAGTGCCCTTTGCTGCACTACATGCAAATAACTACCCATAAGGCACCTGGCACTACAACAGTCAGTATAGCTTATTAATTATATCACCTCTTTTTCTGTAGCAGGTGACTTACACAATTTTAAGAACTTCCACCCTAGAAAAAAAGTGAAGTGGAATAGGGATGAGGACAGAAGGAGAATACACCAGTTTATGGTAATCTGATATAAATCCAAAACTGGAAGTTCAGAAATCCCTAAATTAAAATTATGGGTTGCAGCTTGTTTTCATGAGGTTTTTTTTTTAACAGCTTGTTAGAAAGGCCTTTGAAGGCTTGGTCCCAGCTATATGGATCATTGTCCAGAAAACTAAAGCATTGTTCTCTTCTGGGATACAGCTCTCTGTAAAGTTTTATAAAAATAAATTATGGATCACAGCAAACATAACTGCAAGTTATGTACATGTGAAGAATAAAGGCAGAGGTTGCTATCGACAAGGCAGACAAAGTTTTTATTTATTATTTATTTAAAACTTTTATATGCCATCCCTTATGCATGGCATCTCAGGATGGCTTATAGTCATTAAAATCAGAATACAATAAAACAATCCATACCAATATAATAACATATAACCAGCTAAAATAAATTAAATTAAAAGTGACTGTTAAAACATTAAAATACTAATTTTTAAAATAACAATTAAAAAATGGTTTTGACCTGGTGCCGAAAAGACCTGGTGCTAGGCGAACTTCTCCGGGGAGCTCATTCCACAATCTGGGTGCTCCCAGAAGTTCAAGAAAGGCAGTAGCAGAAGGGCAGCAGCTAGCTGTTGGCAGAATAGAGAGAGGCTACAGTGATACTCGAGAAGGAAGCAGAATCCAGTTATATACTTGCTGCAGAATTGGTAGCAAAGTCAAAATCAAAGAGAACAGGTATGTAGCAAAAATTCATAGCAATGTTTCTCTAACACAAGACATGAGTCATAGAAATATGATTGCAAGTCTTCCTGTCACTGGTCTATCCAGGAAGAATATTCCTTGAGTTGAGAGGCTGTTTAAAAGGGCATGAAGTTGGTGGTCTGTCACCTTATAGGCATGACATTCGACTAAACTGCAGTAGATTCAACTTTAAGACTGCTAGGATGCTGATTCCCTGCATGCTTTAGTGTATTCAGATGCAAACATGATTCTCTGGGTCCACTTTGTGTAGAATTGATCATGATCTTAATTGGTGGTACTTAATTCAGGTATTCAGGTATCATACTGTAGCTATCTGAAGAATCCAGAGAGCTACAATATAATACCTGCATACCTGAATTTAGCTGAAATATACATTACAAAAATAGCCTCAATGTATCACTGCTACAAGTAGACAAGACGTTTACATAGTGTGGGTATAACCTCTGCAGTTGATATATACAAACATGCCCATGGTTGTTTTCAGTAATGAATAAAACAGGACTCTGGAAAGTGACCTCCTTGAGCTAATAATTTGGAACTCCGTTCCACTTTTTCCACTAGTTTCTGAGACAGAAACAATCAGTTGCCATGGAAAATACAGATTTCTTCAAGATCACATTCCAGAGCACCTTGATCCAACAGGTGGTGCTTCCAGTCACTCCCATACACAGGGCTGTGTTCCACTCCCAGAATGGTGAATGATGGTCGGTGAAGCAACCTGCTCTTTTCCATAGTGCATCTCTTTTGGGTACTTCAGGTTACTGTGCCTCTCTTCCCACCTGCACTGAGAATGCATCATACATCAACCAAGAGCACTGTGACATAAATTTTGTCAAGCATGAGTTCACACACCTGATGCTGGAGCTGAAGACTGAAGAGTGCAGGTCAAAGTTACAGCTCTATTGGTTAGGCAAGATCTGCCCTGCCCTTGGGTCTTCCATATTTCATTCACTGGCCTCAGGCACTCTGAGCTGGAGAATATAGCTCTAAATCCCTGAAAATTCTCCGTCTTTTGTTTTCTCTTGGAAGCAATGGCTGAATTTTAACAGGCACATCCAGGATTTCGGGTGGAACTGGCAATGAAGACTTTCTGTGAAATCTGTGCCTTTCCTTTAGGTGATAAATGTCTCTCAGGTGATGGAGCCATCACTGGGTGCAACCATTCAAGTGGTTTTTGCATGACAGCTATAACATTAGTTAGTGGCTCTTTCACTCACAGTTGAGGAAGAGGATTTGGAGACTGTAGCTCTACATATGTTGGAATACTCCTGCCTTGTTGTGGCTCTCTTTTCCGTAGTTGATGCATTCACAATACTGTGTAAAATATCAATCAGTGCTGAAGCACTGGCAGAGTTTGGACACTTTAAAAAAAGTACTAGTAAAAGATAATAGTCACAAATTGCAAGCCGACATTAATAACTAGTAGCAAGTGTAATTTTATTTGCTTCTTTATCATAGGTTCATGCCAGAACACAAACTACCTCATATTGAGAAGGCACCAGATTCTGAAGGAACTGGAGATACGTGCCTGTTTATGGCTCTGCCTTTCCAAGAAAAGAGTGGTGGAACTACAGGTTTAAGAAACAGCAACACTTTGGGCTGTGGGTCTGAACAGTCTGAATTACAATCTGAGCAAAGTTCCTCCTGGCCAGAGACACCACAGAACCAACCAGCAACATTAGAGAAAGTGGAGAAGCCGGTATCTTCTAAAAGCCCAAAACCTTATCAAAGGGAAGATAGTCAAAGTGTGACTTTTAACCTTACCATTGTCTCAGATAGCTCAGGCTGTCAGCAGAAACCTTTGCACATTGTTTGGCCTCACAGGTG